GAAGCCAGCTTGGTACCTTGCACTACTTATGGGCCGTCTCTTTCCCCGTTTGCACTCCGACCCTCTGTGCAATGCAGTCATTCTCGTACCACAAGGTGGGGAAGGAGTTTCTTTACCACTCAGAAGAGACGAAGGCCGAGTGGGGAGAGGTGGAGAACTTTTGGGACTGCTGTGGCCGCAACGACCCCATGGACCCTGGCTGCACCAAGGGACCCCACCGATCATATGATGATGCGTGATGCTGCTATTGCATGCTGCACTATTCTCTGGATGTGGAGAACTTCTGGGACTGCTGCGGCCGCAACAATTGACCCCATGGACCCTCCTGGATGCACTATGGGGTCCCATAAAAAATACGAGGATGCGTGATTTGGTGTTTTTTGCATTCTACACGTGAAGTGGGAGCAGTTTTTTTGGACCACGTGAACACATTTGGATGCACTTTCACATCCCATCAAAGTACTTTGACGATGGAGGGGGTGTCCACGTGAAGAGCTGTTGGGTTGGGAGTGCTGCGGCTGCAACGACCCCATGGATCCTGGGTGCAGTAAGGGGCCTTACCAGTCGAACGATGATGTTTGATTTGATGCTCCTGCATGTATGCTAACGTACATAGTCCTATGACGATGTTAGGTGGAGAACTTCTGGGACTGCTGCACCCGAAATGACTGACCCCATAGGCTCTGGGTGCACAGGGCCTCATCAGACATACCATATTCTCCCGGACATAACACCCTAGGGTATAGCTAAAAATACAGGGAAAAAATGGGGGGGGTCTCCTCATAGGAAAAAAAAACATAATACCCGGGTCTTTACATATGGCATATTTTAGTGTTAGTGTTTTTTTAATTAGTCAATGTGGGTGTTTTGCTGGCCGTTTTAGCATCACTGCCTGAGGCACGAATGTCAGTTTCGGCATCTAACTTCATCGCCCTCACGAAAATGCCATGTGACACCTCTCTTGCCACTTGCAACGGAAGATTCACCTGCACGTGGCAACAGAGAAATAGTGGGAGGGGGCAAATCTCGGCAGATTGCCTTTGAATGTACCGCGAAATTTCATTGAGGGAGAAATTCACACGATATTCTTCCGTACTGCAGCTACTCGTTAACGACTATAATAATGAATCCGTAAGAATAGGGGGGTGTTATAGAAAATCAGCCAAAAAGGGGGGTATAGTTGTCAGAATGAGGAATGGGTGATCCATTGATGTTGGTTGGGGTACATATAACAAACCCTAACTTCTGTACCCCCTAAGACAAACCTCACTACAGGCTACAACATTTGACACACCCCCATAGCCTAAGTGAGGGGTGTCTAGCAAAATCAAAAAGAGTACGGTCACAAGACCAGTCCAAAAGAAAACAAAGCTCAGGGTGGATCACAACGTCACCACACACTCTGAGCACAAGCAACAGTGGCCACAAGGCCAGTCCAAGAGATCACAAGTATATATAGCAAGTGTACAGACGAAGCAGGCAATAAACTCAAGTCTACACATGACTAGAACCTGTGTCAACAAGGCCTAACTGCACACAACACCTCTGGTGGTCACAAGGCGGAAGCGCCTTGGTGAAGATGTCTGCAGTGTTGGCCTCGGACTCCACGAACTCGAAGCGAGCCTGTCCACGTCTCTGCAACTCTCGCAGAAGAAAGTACCTGACGTGAATGTGCTTCACTCTGCTCTCCAGTCGCGGCTCACGACAGAGGAGGATCGACGCCTTGTTGTCAGTAAACAAGGTCGGTGCAGAGCTCGGCCGCTCACCAAGGTCGGCGAGCAAGAAGGTCAACCACCGCAACTCCTGTGCCGCCATGGCACCAGCGTAAATCGCAGCCTCAGCTGTAGAGGTCGAGACAGAAGAGGAGCGCGTGGAACGCCAGGAAACAGCTCCAGAACCCAGACTGAAACAGTACCCCTGAGTAGACCTGTGAGTCTCAGCGTCGTCAGCGTAAGAGGAGTCACAGTGACCAGTGAGTACGACAGACTGCTGCCCTCCAAGAACTAGCCCCACGCCTAATGTAGTCGCCAGGTACTTCGCCACCCTCACAGCTGCCGTCCAGTGAACAGGACGGTGTCTCCCTGGCGCAACAAAGCGCGCAAGGATGCTGAGAGGGAAGGCGAGGTCCGGGCGAGTACAAGTCATCAGGTACATGAGGCAACCCACAAGCTCTGCGTAGGGACCACTAGGCTCAAACGGCTCGTCAGGAAAGGGACCAGTGAGTCTGTGGTCAACAGCGAGAGGTGTGCGCTGTACGGTGGAGTGCTGAAGCCCGAACCGCTGAAGGACTTGCTGCACCATGTGTGACTGTGAGAGTGTAATGGTGCGAGCGGCTCTGTCCCTGGTGATCTGCAGGCCAAGGTAGTGGCGCAGCTCACCAAGATCAGTGCACGTGTGTCTCTTCTACAGTTCGGACTTCACGTCTGCCAAAGCAACCCTGTCCGGAGTGGCGAAAACGAGGTCGTCGACGTAGACCAGAACAAAGAACGGTGTGGAGCCACGACGAACGAACAGCGACGGGTCGGCAGAAGACGGCTGGAACCCAAGGTTAGAGAGGGTAGAACGCAGAGTGTCGTGCCACTCACGAGGGGCCTGGCGAAGACCGTAAACAGGTCGCCTCAGCCTCCACTGGGTCCCAGGAGGGAAAGTGCCAGTGAAGGCCGAGGGACGACGCAACCAGACCTCCTCGTGTAGGCTGCCCTGAAGGAAAGTAGTGGAGAAGTCGAGAGAGTGTAACTCGTAGTCTCTCTGTGCTGCTACGTGTAGTAACACCCGAAGAGTGGTCATCTTCGGGGTAGGTGCGAAGGTCTGAAAGAAGTCAACTCCCTCGCGCTGACTGAAACCTCTAGCCACGTAGCGCGCCTTGAAGACCGGGGGAGATCCCGGTGGCCGCTTCACCCTGTAGATCCACATGCCGTCGACTACGTTCGCCCCAGGGGGGGGAACCTCATCGACGTAGGTGCCTGTGGATCTGTAGGAGGCCATCTCTGCGTCCATGGCAGCTCTCCACTGAGAGGCCCAAGGCCCTGACACTGCCTCAGCGTAAGTGCGAGGAGTCAGAATGTCAAGGGCGTCGGGGTCACCCTCAGGGGCGAGGAGCATGGCACAGAGATGAGGGGAAGCGGCCGCCAAGAACTCTAGCTCAAACTGCCTGTCCTCTAGGGCGTCACAGCCAAGGGCAGACACACCCCCGACGGCCAGAGGACTGGTAGGAGGAGCAGCCACAAGCGTGGTGGCGTAGTCAAGGCGGCGGGTAGCGGCAAAGTCAGTAACCGCGGCAGTAAGAGCAGACACAGAGGACACAGAGGCACGAGGGTGAGTAACAAGAGAGGCGAGAACACGAGAGAGAACAGGATGGTATGTGCGGTAGTAGTCAGTGACAAGAGCAGGGAGCGACACGGTGAGGGCCGACTCAGGAGGAGACGGAAGCACAGACTGAGACGGACAAGGTGGACTGAAACAAAGTAAGGCAGTACGAAGGTCAGTGAAGGGAACAGGAGACGAGGGACGAGCACGAGGGGAGCGACGAGTAGCCCAAGAACGAGACGGAGGAGGAGAGGACAAAGGCGGAGAACTAGAGAAAACAGCGGGGGAGGAGTCAGGCGGAGGAAACGTGGGACCGTAGACAGGAGGAGAGGCGGAGGAGGGAGGAGAAGGGGAGGGGAGACCAAGGGCCCGAAGACCCGAGACATGAGGAGGAAGTGGCTGCTGCTGCTGCTGCTGCTGCGACTGCTGCTGGGACTGCTGCTCCTGCGGGTCCAGCTGCTGCTGCTGCTCCGCCAGCCGCTGTAACTCCCTCTCCTCTCTCTCCAACTCCAGCTGCTCGTCACGGGCATGGCGAACACGAGCCTGGTGCCTAGTCGGGTAGGGGTGGGGGGGCGGAGTAGTGTCCGAAGCAGCGGCAGCTCCAGATTCAACCCCCGAAGAACCAGGCGCACCACCCCCAGAGGCAGCACTAACACCAGCTCCAGACCCAGGCGCACCAGAACCCGAAGCAGGCGCACCCTCACCCCCAGAGGGAGCACCCCCAGAGTCCGCGCGGCCAGCACCGGCTCCCGGACGACAAGAGTCCTCTGCACCCACCGGGTGAGCTCCAACTCCAGAACCAGAAACTCCAGCTCCAACTCCAGCACCCCCAGAACCAGAAACTCCAGTGCCTACTCCAGCTCCACCTCCAGCTCCAACACCAGCTCCAACTCCAGCACCTCAAGAACCAGAAACCGATACAGGAACAGGCGCAGCACCAACCTCTCGAGAGCTAGCACCAGCGGCACGCTGCGAGGAGGACTGTGGGGAGGGAGGCTGTACCGGAGGGGCTACCGAAGGAGGAGGGGTAGCCTGGGACACACCTGACGGGGCTGGGCCAGGGGGGGGAGGCTGTACCGGGGGAGCAGGAGGGGGAGCGGCAGTCAGGAAGAGGGGGGGAGGAGGAACCGAGAGACCTCGACTGGGGTACCTGACGTAGTACGGAGTGGACTCCTCGAAACGGACGTCACGGGAGTCAAAGAACCGGTGAGAGGGAGGGTGGTAAAAGGTGAAGTCAGAGGAGTCCTCAGGGAAACCAAGGAAGACACAGGGGACGGCACGAGGCGAGAGCTTGTCCGCGGAGGTGTCGCGGACATGAGCCAAGCACCCCCAGACACGAAACCGCGACGCAACACCAGGGGACCCTGTCCAAAGACTGGTCGGTGAACCTCTGGTCGAGAGACACGTGGCCAGAGGTTCAGCTGGTGCGCGGCGTACCTGACCGCGTAGGGCCACAGAAAATGGGGGGCACAGGCGTGAGTCAGGGAGGTGCGGGCGATCTCCATGACCAGGCCTATGCGGTGCTCAGCAACCCCATTCTGCTGTGGGGACTCTGGAAGCGTCCAGGACTGACGAATGCCCTGCTCGCGTTAGAATCCAGCGAGAATGCCGGAGCGAAACTCACCCCCACGGTCGGAGTGGAGACAGCTGACACGACGACCACGAGTGTCCTCGGTGATGAGCAACCACCTGATCAGCGTAGAAGTCACCTCAGACTTCTTCGCCAGAGGGAACACTGTGGTGTAGCGGGAGAAGTCGTCAACGACCACCAGAAAGTAACGCTCACGCTCAGGGCCTAGACGAGGGGCGGGGCCCCAGACGTCCAAGTGAAGCGTCTCAAAAGGCTCGGTGGCCGGACGAAGGGAGGAGGAGTGAGGGGTGGCGCGCAGCCTACCCTCGACGCAGGGACGACACGGCGGCGCAAGCGAAGGCG